AGCAATAATTGCAGGCATAATGTAATAAATGTAATTTACTCGAAAGTTGCAACCGAAACAAGGCCAGTAAGACGCAGTTAAGATTCTCCTTCTTTGCTCAAATCTGCAAATCTGAGTCTTTGGAAGTAAAGGAGTGGCACCCTCGTAGCCAGACCTTCCGTAAGTTCCTCTGCCCAGATTCAGCACAAAAGCAAACCCTAAACTAGCTAGTAAACGACGATTATTATTACTACTAGTACTTAATAACTAGTGCTACTACTACGACGACGACTACTACTCCTGACTGTCTTGAAGTAACGAATGAATGCATATTTCATAATAACAATTTTTAATACAGTAAGCTTCCGGGTCTTGCATATCACCACGCTTGCAGGCGGAGACTCCTGCGAGAGTTTCCTGCCCTGCTGATTACACTGGTCTGGCCAGAGTCCTCCTGCCGCGAACCCAGAGTGCGACCGGTCACAACCGCATGCACGCACAATTTAATAAACTATGTAAGTTGTATAGTAGCGCCCACCCACATACGCAAACGTAAACATACATGCACGCTTGCGCCTGTACGCATCTGCGAGCATAGAGACGGTGTGCGGATGCTTATTCAAGTCAATACTTGAAATGATTAACTCACCTGCGCTGGATCGATGCTCGCAGCTTTTGCGATTGTCCTTGGTTCCACATTCTGATGTATAGTAAGCCAAACCAATCCAATCAGACACAGTCAGACACTAACAGGTGCCGGTTCCACCGGTCTATCCTGCAAGAGACCTACGTCGCTTGCAAGGTCTGCCCGCCTCCTGTTGTATTGTTTCGGCCAGATTCAGAAACGACACTGCAGGGAAGCCTGTTTGTTTGCGATGAGGTTGTGAGAGATGAGAAATTGCCCCGGCCCAGCCGTCATCACTGCCGGTGACATGTCCGGCTCGATAGCAAGTAAGAGAAGCATCTCAGTCTTGGATAATTTTGTTTGCTGCTGGCCGAGCTTGCGCAGCCATGGCCCCGAAGAAGAGCTGCATCCAGTCAAAAACCAAGGCAGTGCAAGAGAAGGCGCTTTCGAAGGAGAAGAAGCTGAAAGTGTTTTGTCTGCAAGCAAGGCGTCTACACTTCAACCTTCCGACCCCCCTTAACTTTAAACATATGATCCCATCAATCAAGCTAATCACATGTCCGAATATTCGTGAACTGAGGACAAGGCGGAGGAAGCCTTGCGCAAAGAGCAGAAAGCGAATCTTGAAGCGCAAGAGAACAGACTGATCACTATGAGGCAGGAGCTCGATGCGTGGTTTGCCCTACGGCCGAAAGCACTGGAACACATCCATCGGGGCTTCAGTCGCTGAGAATTTTAGTTTTTCGTTTTTTTTGGTATGTTTGGGAAAGAAAAATAGTACTGTGAAGCTTTAGCGAGCTAGGTTCTTTAAATTCAGTTGAACTTGAGTGAAATGACTGACTGTGATTCATTGTCTTTAGAGCGCACGTGGCATAAAGGTATGGGAAGCTTTGATTCGCTGGACTCCGGCAAGATCGTGGGCGACGACGACTCGTCGGAGCAGAAGCTGAAGCCCTACATGAACAAGTTCCGATTGCTTGGGCAAGAGCAAACGCGACCGCTGCTTTGCAAGATGATTCCCAAAGTGATGTCGTTCTTGGACAAACAGCAGAAGAACTTCAGATGCAAGATAGAGCGTGCTTTCCTGGCGACCCTGCTCGCGTAGCTTGGCTGTGAATCAGTAGTAGTACATGTAAAACAATCTTTCATTCAAATCTTCTTTGCCTCTGCCGAAGCAAGAAAAGTGCAAAACACCTCACTCGCCGTAGGTTCATCACTCACTGCGACGTCAACAGCGCGTTGCCGAGCAAGAGCATGGTCGCGCTTGAGGACTTCATGATGAAGCGCTTCACAGACTACGGCAGCCGGCTAGAAACCTGGGAGCCACGGGGGCCAGAGACGACCTTCCAGGACCTACTCGTTTAACCCGCCTAAGTAAGGCATCCTGCTGTAACATCGTGATTTTCCGCCGCCTGTTCATTGCTCAGCCTCTTAGGCCCAACATGCGGCTGGGGTCGTGAGTCCAAGTCAGTGAAAATTCAAGTTGAATGAATTCGGTTTAACCGTTGCCTTGTTTGTCGGATCGGTTGGCCTTAAATTCACCCAAGCCCAAGAGTCCGCGTTCTCAAGGAGTTCTGTGACGATCCCGCCTGCAGCTACTGGAGGCTGGAGAAGCAGGACGACGGCAAGAGTCAGTTGCGGTACATGCAGACCGACTTGATGTTTAAGCTTCCGCCGGAGATGCAGAACATCGACAACATCAAGGTCATGTGCGCAAGAAACTTCAACACATCCTTGAGTTTCTCAGCTGCAATGTGCGAATCTTTCAGATCAAGTTATCTAAGCACGCGCTTCTCTAGTTCTCTCGTCTATTCAGAACATGTTGAAACCACTTCTTCCAACTCAATTGTTCGTTGCATAGCAATTCCGTCAGGTGCTGGGTTGGTGGACATCTCGGTGTGCAAGATCCTGAATTCCGACATCAACGAGGGCAAGACCTTGCCCGAGAGCCCGTTCTTTCTGAAGGAGTGCCCGACGGGTTCCTCCCCCGAAGCCGGTTCTGGTGATGGCAAGAAGACGAAATCGTGGCAGGCGAAATCGGAGACTGCGCTTCAACCGGCAGCTGGGAACGGCAAGAACACTCCCCCGCGGACGCCGAAGCGCAAGATCAATTGCAAGTCGTCGCCTAGCAAGAGTCCGAAGACCCTCGCCGGATCGCCCGTCAGCTCGATCAAGTCGCCAGCATCAGGAGGGCGAGGATCGCCAAAGTAAACTTGACTGAGATTGTTTCAGGGGCAAGAACACAGAAGAAGCATTATTATTTTTAACATAAAAAATGCATCGCTGAAAGTTGGTGTCACATGCTTTTGTGTTCTCGGGTTACCCCTGCTTCTGAGTCTTCCGAGACTGTAGGTCAGAGAGCAGGGAAGTATTTCAAGAGCGCCCCGGCCTGACTCTGCCGATTTCCGCTGCCGCTGTTGCTGAAGGCAAGAAATTTTAATCGAGTCCTCGGCCGCTGAACCTGGCAAGTTTTGGCGATCAACCGCCTTGCCGGGCCGTTTGCGATAAAACGCTGCCTTAGTCACTGGCCGCAGAAGTCGCAAGAGAGAAAACGGGTTGCCAGAGCAACAAGCCTTTTGACGCACCTCATTTGTGATTTTACACTCCCGCCCGCCAGGATTCTGCACTTCCTGGACCTGCACTGAACGACTGTCGGGCCATGGCAAGAATTTTTGCTAATGAGCCAGAGTAACGCAAGAAACTCCGTATTTTTGGAAAGACATTCGCAGGAAATCCCTGCAAGATGCAGAGAAAAAGGCGTGGCAAATCATCATCATTTCATCTCGCTGACATATAAACTTCACATACTATCCGGGGTGTAGTGTCGTAAATTCTTATTGAAGCTTTTAATATACTTGGGAATTTTAACAACATATCAGAACTTTATCTTGTAACCGAACAACCCACGAACCCCTCACGAACCCCCAAAACTTTCGCAGAAGTTCGCCGAAGGGTTTTTGAAAAAACGAACTTCGTCGAAGGGTCAACCTTTGCCTGACAGACCGTTGCCCCCTTCTGCGTTCCCCTCAATTTGTATACACACACGTCGAAAGTAGTCGCGAAAGGAGCAATGGCCTACTAGTGAAGCTGGAAGCAAGGGTAGCGATACATGCAAGCATGCAAGCAGTATGATATGCGCGGTAGCAATATCAGGTGCCCACAAGAGCATTGGTGCTTTTATACCCTGAAGGATCTGCATCACCTGTAATCAGGGGTCTTTTAGGGGTACATAGCTGTTGTCCCTAACATCTACCATGCCGATGATTGATAACATTTTTAAAGCCTGAAGAACCCGAAGTACTTGTGCCCAAGTGCTGGAGCATTTCCAATGTCTTCTACTTGCGCTCTCTCAGTGTCTCTCAGAAGTCTCGGTGGGCTTTCGAACCTCGAATGCAGACATCGAGCCCCTAGACGTTGAGCTTGCTGTTATGATAAGTAACTTTTGAGGCGTAAGGTTTTCGCTAGCGTGGGATTCCCCTGCCTGCCGGCGCTGGAAAACATCGTACCCCCCCCCAGCGAAACTGCGATCTTTCGAATCGGGTCATGAATTCGTCCAGGGGGAGCCCGTAATACAAGCGAGCCGTGGCTTAAGTTTAGTTAAGATCCTATGTCCCATGGCGCTCTCCCGACCTTTTCGCTTTGTGGTTACTCTGCCAACGTGGATGCCTCGCCCGGAGAATGAGATACTCTGCTCAGGCCGGTTGATGCCAAAGGGCGACAGCTCTAGCAACTTCGCGGAGCTTCGCGGCCTACCCTGAAATGGGGCTGTGGTGTTTCAGGCAGCTCTTCCAAGAAGCCAGCGTCCGCTGAGTTTTCCTCTAATTCGTTTGCTTTTCCCCTGCAGTTTTCACACCCGTGACAGCGCGTCACGACTGCAGCTCGTGCTTTAGCCAGGCAGATTTGGCGAAGATTCCAAATCGATTGCCTCGAAGCAGCAAGCTTAAGTAGCTGCTAATCCTGTGTAGATTGCACTAAGACGCAGACTGTGCCTCTTGGCACCCATGTGGAATGGGTGACCCCGTGCCTGTTCAGGCCCCACATCGTTGGGCTGGCACAGCCAAAACTTGATACGAATATTCACGAAAGGTGTGGCGCATCTGCTCGTGTTGCTGCATTGACGACAGGAGCGTCTCACTGCTCTTGCATGATGCAGTCGGAATTAAGTCTCCGGTCTTGGTGGTGCAATCCCGGCTCCATGAACTCGGCTTACACTGTGGCCTTGCCATTTTTGCAGCAGTGTGGTTCAGAACTCTACGCGTCCATCCGTGCAGTCATTGTATGTCATTGTGGTCAGCAGCAAGATGTCTGCAAGAGCAGCCGCAACCATGTTGTCATACCCTATGATCGCTGAGCATCTGCACTGGAGGAAGTACGACGGAGTAGTGTGCACAGCGCCATGGCGGATGTATGTTCGGGCGGAGAAAGCCAGTCCGGACCTTGGCTCAACGTTGCAAGTTGCAATATCAGTCGAGTCTAGTGTAGTGTCGTGTTGTGTAGTCTAGACTAGTCTTTAATGGCATACTGAGGCAGGACGACAGTTCGTCGTACTTTCTGATGTTGGTCTTGAACACGGTGTTTTCCTCCACTACGTACAGTGCACTTTTCTGCACTCCGCGTCCTCCGCATGATCCCATAGGCAAGTGCGGCAAAGCTTTGATCCTGGCGTGAGACGCTCGACGCCCAAAAGCCGTTTCAACTTTGAGTTGGTATACCCGCAGATCCGGACTACAAATACATATATCATAACCGTAAGACTGTAAGTCTATGTATTCTTTCGAGCCTGAGGTGCCTGGGCTGCCCGGCCCTGGCCCTCGCCTCAACCCTCCGTGGGCACCGGCGACCTATGCTCGCAGTGCTTTTGGAGGACTTTAAAACTTTGTAGAGTAGATCCTGAGGAGGAGAGGGAAGAACTGATTGGGAAATAGCTTTGGGGCTTCTGGGGTTTCAAGATGAGTTGGAGCTTCTTGGAAGGCTTCTTCAGGTCCCATACTTTCACTCCTTGTGGTGGTGTGAAGGGTTGAGGTCAGCCCTTGATCAGCAGAAGGAATGCCACAAGCAAGCTGAAGATCGGATGCAGGGATCAAGCTGACACAAGAGCTGCCCACCGTGGCCTTGCACGACGTGGGGATGCAATACTTGTCTTATCATCATCGTCAACGAAGCAATCGTTTCAGTCGATAGACTTACAAATTCTTGCAGGATGTTCCTTTGTCCGGTGCTCAGCTGGAAGTTACAGCTTATGTCGATGACATGGCCTGATGTCGAATGTGAGCATGGTTGCCATAGCAGTTGCGCTTTTGGGATGTCCATCCCCTTCGGCCTCCCAGCACCAGAAATCAAGCGACCAGGCCGGCAAAGGAAACTACTTTCTGGGTCCATACCTCAGCCGATCTTCTGTCTCTCTCTCTCTCTCTCTCGCTCCCTCCCTCCCTCCCTCCCTCCCTCCACAGACAGACGGTGTTTCCGATTTGCTAGAAGATGAAATAGGTTGTGGATTCCGGCGCATGTGCTACTGCTGGCGGTGCGAAACTGGCCAAATGCAGGAACTGGAGGAGGACAGGCAGCTTTGATTCCCCCAGAGCGTTGGGTGACACTCTCTCACGGGCTCCAAGCCCCCTGACAGCTGCTCCGCCACTGATGTGCACCACCAGCTGCCAGCTACAGTCTGCGAGCACGCTCAGGCCTGGCCGTCTCAGATGGCACAAGCTGTGATCGCGGCCGCACCCGCGGAAAAGGCGCACCGTGTTGTGGATATCATGTCATTGAAACTAAAGATTGATGTCTCAATAACTCAACATATCCCCGCGATATCCTACCGACCTCCTCCGTGCCTGCCCGCACCTGCTTGCTTGTGCATGCTTCTTGTTGGCGAAGTTCCGAGAGTCCTTGGTCAGGACGAGCTTGGACCCTTTGCCTCTACGCGCTCGCCTGAAAGAGCCTCCTTCTATCTTCACAGGGCATTGGTGCGCCTGGGGCCGTTTCGATGCGAAGCGGGCCTCAGCAGCAGATTTCTCGAACTGAGGATCGCTGGACTTGTTGGACGCGAGAAGGCCGAGCTCAGAACTCGTAGAGCTGCCTCGTTGGAACCAAGCGGCAGACTTGCAGATGCCTGCGCTACACTCTTTGCCGTACCGGTAGGTGGTGCTGCAGCTCCGGTGCACTGTATATCGTTCTCATAATTCATCCTCATTCAACGCAACAGTCTTCTCCAATGGTATGTCGTCAGAAATCGATTCCTTGACCTGCGGTATCCGACAGTCTTTTGACTATAGGCTCTCCCACCAGCACCTGCAACAAAACCCACCTCCACAACCAACAAGCTCTCACAGAGTCTCACGTCCTGCTTGAGGCCGCTGATCTCCTCGCCGACATCGTGGCAACCTCAGCTTCGTTCAGGCTTTCAGTCGCAACCCGGGGGTTGGTGTGGAGTGGAACAATGACCTCAAGAAGATTGCAAGCCTGAGCTGCGACAGAGTACCATGTGCTGAAGCGAGAGGGCATAAACGCGAGGCTGCTTGCTGCTAAGAAAGTGAAGAAAAGGACACTGGTGCGAATACCTCTTCAGCGGCTCATCCCAGGCCTCAGATACGGCCAATAGCCGCGCATGGGCATACTGGCACGAGCCTCAGAGGTTCTTGCATACTCGGGCTTGGTGAAGCAAGGAAGCCGGAAGCATAGGAGCGGACCCCCAGTTCTTTACTTTGATCTTTGCCTTCTTGCTGCTTGCTGTGGTGCAGCATGGTACAGCAAGGTTTCCCGCTGACGCAAAGGCCGAGAGCGGCTCAGTTAGGGGCAACAGCTTCAGGGAGTTTCGTCAATCTACGTCATCCAGTGTCCAAGCTGTGTCACACATGACCATATCTACTATGTCATCACCGAATCACGTATTCAATCCAGTCCATGTTCTGATGACAGGTGCAGACAGCGGAAACCATCTGGGAGGCCTCAGCTTCGGAACTTTCGGATTACAAGCAGCCCGCAGCGGCTCGCGGCCTGAAGCTGCGCAGTCATTGGACGGTGTGGCAGCATGACCGCAGGTTCCATGATCAATATTAGTATTAGCATTAGCATCAGTATTAGTGGTAATGTTTGTATTTTTATTAGCAGGCTCTGGAGATCCGGTCTTTCAAGCTGGAGGAAGGCTGCGACGAAGGCCTGGCAGTGCTTGTCGGGCCGTCCAAGATCGTCGTGGCTCTTCAAGTAGAGGTCGCCGAGCTGGCGAATGAATGTCTTTCGCCGCTCTTTAAATTTAAGTCGTTGCAAAACATGCATTCGCAAGGCAGCATCGAGGTGGTGTTATGCCATTTAGGCTGCCATGGAGTCACAGAAAACTGAAGTGCAGGAGTTCCGAGTCGCCAATTCCGATCTCTGTGTGCCATCGCTCGCGGCCCATCCGAGGACGGGCGGGAAGTGAGTGCTTCGCCACCTTTTGCCTCTGGCCTTTGTTCCGGGCTACTTGACTTGAGAGCACTTATCAACTACATGCCAAGAGAAGCCTCCAGCTCTTGCCCAGAAGCCTCTCGCCGATGATGCTGCGGCATCCTTCTGCGCGCGGGAGCGTTTCGTCCAGCTCCCAGCGTCTGCAGCGCATCAGCGAATTGGGGCTTGGGGTGAAGGCTCGACTTATCGCTCTATTTCTCTAGCTTTCCAGTTCTGCGTAGGGGCCAGAAGCCTTTCGAGCCTCCTATTACTACCAGTCTTACTAACCACCACAATTACAACATATTCCCTTCCCTTGCTTACCAAAGGTAAGTCTGCAAAAAATGCGCCGCTGAGGCTCAGGCCCACGAGGCCATGAAGCAGCTCGCTGCCATGGCGGCGAGGCCACGCTGCTTAGCACCGCCCGCCTCACTTGCCCTAGGGCCCTAGGGATCAAAGGACTCTTATATTAAGGCTTTTGGGCCCAAAGACCATACTATATAAGGCTTTCGTGCTATTTTGATCCCCTGGTTGGGGGGGATTAACTTGATAAATGGTCCGGAGGTGGACTTGGGGCCATGACATGGCCCGTGGCCCCCCCCCCCCCCCGCATTGCCGCGAAAAGATTTGTGGATGTTTGGGCCCCGTTCTGGAAGTCTTGTGCGTTTGACGATATTCACAGCCGTCGTCCTATCCTGGGATCCCGAGCAGAGTTTGTAACTTTTAATAATTTAAGCTTGCATCAAATAAAGAAGCGTGTAGTGACTATTCCAGTGCAGCCTGCCTTGCTTCAGGAACCTCAGCTCAGCGCCAAGCCCGCATGTCCCAGGCCTAATCCGGCTGTCGGCGAGTGCCCCGAAATCTGCCCGGGAGGGCCCTACGAAATCTATTCTCTTGAATGTCTCGCTTGAATCTGAGCGGATCAGTCAGCTCCTTCCCTTGTCAGGTGTTCTGGATTCCGTGCGCTTCCGCGCGGAGCTCTTCGATCAGGAGGTGTTTTTTCTTCATTGTCGAGGGTCCGTTCGTGAGGCGACTTGAGCCTGAGAGGTCTTCAGCACTTCGGCCATGTCCTGGGCCAACTTGTCCTCAGCCCTGGCCGCTGTCCCAAGCCTATGCTCTGCACTGCTCTGCAGCTGTGTAGCCGAGGTGTTTGCAAGCACTAGAGTCACGAGAGAGCTGGTACGCTCGAGGGCTAAGGCCACGGTGCTGTAGTTAGTTCAGCCAGGAGATCACGTTCCTTTCCAACCCAACACGGTCGCTTTCGCATTGGAGTTTTCCTATCTGAGCCACCCACTTCTGGGGAGCGAAAATGGGCGAACTAAAGTGTTGATAGAGCTAATTACAGCTATGAATCGGCTATGAACTACCGTCATCACTGTGTTAAACGTTTTCATCAGGTCTCGCTGACGTTGCCTCAAGGCTCGCATCGTGGGCACGTTTTCAGTTTTGCAGAGTGTCAATTGAGCAGCACTCGTCGTATTCGAGTTTACTCTGTTTTCCGAAGGGGCATTTGCTCAGACATGGAGACCTCATGGCATCAGTGACCTACCAGCCTCAAGCCACGATTGGCTTTGCAGCATTCCTGACTCTGTCCCAACACTCTGCCACAAGTAGCTGACAATAGCACCTTCCCCTGCCAGGACGAATTGTAGGTGTGGCTCAGGTTGAGCCGCGAGATTTTGGAAAGCCTTTTGTTTTCGTAGACTGGTTCAGGCTGTCGGTCACTGGAAGCCGGGATCTACGTTGCCGCGCTTGAGGAGGAGCGGTGCTGTCGGGAGAAAGGCCGCTGTTGGACCGGACTGCACAGAAATGCACATGGATACTCCCAGGCAGTCGTTCCTGCGAAGCGATGTTAGTGAGCTAAGCCCTTGGCAAGTACATGTGGAAACATCGAGGTGTTCTGCTGTCGCTTTTGCACGAGCACGATTCTGGTAGTGTGGTTTTTGATTATTAACTTTTGCTACTCAGCTACTCTTATTGCAAGCATGATTCGTGCCATTTCTGCCATTTGCATCATTGTTATTCGTATACTACTATTGTTATTCCGGCTATTGCTAGTATTGTCAGTGTGATGGTTAGTAGTGAGGGCTGGTAGTGTAGTTATTGTTGTTATTGTCAGTATTACTACAACGATCATCACCTGGCTTCCTGGCAGTTCACGGCCTTGGACACGCCTTCACACACCGCAGGACATTGGGGCCCTGGTTGCGATCTGCGCCACGGGCTGCTCACCAGCTCGGGATCCGAGCAGCGGGCAGTAACATTGGGAAAGTCCGGAAGAACTTGAGCACCCCAGGCCTTCGGGTCGTCGAGTTTGATCAGCTTGACTTGGAGATGCGATGCAAGCATCTCACGTCTTGACTGCACAGATTTGTGTTTTCAGGTCGACTCTCTGGAGCCAGGGTTTTGTAAAGGATCCAGTCCTGCGTCGCTTGGAGTATCTGAGCATGCAATACGCTTTTGGCTCGTGAGACTTACAGTCAGAACCTTCCTGCCAACGCCTGAACGACGAGGCTGGACGAGAAGCTTCGGAGACTCCTAGTGCACCGAAGGTTGAAAGCCTCTGACCACTTGGCAAAAGGAACTTCTGATCTTGGCATGCTCACTGCTGCAATCTGTCAACACATGGTGCGTTAGAGGTCCTCCTCGAAAGCAGCTTCACATTCTATCTACTCAATGATGCTTGCTTTTCAGAACCGTGCGTCGGTGAAAAGCACATGCATGCTGCATCTGCAAGCCGCGAAGGGGGGAGCGGGGGCAAGGGGAGTGATCAGGCAGAACAACAAGACAAGAACTTAGGCCGGGCCAGACCTCAAGATGTGTAAGTAATGCAAATGAATACTGTTCCGTAATTTCGCTGGGCAATATCGTACAGTGTGTTCCAGAATCTCCAACACGGAGCTTGAGCTTGAACCGTGAAAGCAGCCGACCCTACAGCTGAGTGGCGGTGTGGGCTGAGGTCTTGAATCTTGCAGCAAGCCCAGGCCCTAAACCCTAGACCGTAAAAGCCTGGTAGAACCCTTATTATAGACCCCTGAAAAGGATTCTCAAGAAGAGCACTCCTCGTGGGAAAAAGCCTTGAGAGGTCCTTAAGCATGCAGCTTGCGCCAGCCGCCGCTCCTCTTCCGGCAACTGAGCGGCGCTTGGCAGGGTCTTCGCCTTTGCTCGTTTTGACGAAGATCTGCACAGATTTCTCGAAGTTTCAGAGCTTGGTTTCCCCTACAACTGCAACAAGAATGACTGTCTTGGGCAATGCGTTATTACGTCGGCGGCCTGAGGCGGTTCCCGCCACCCTGCGCGCCCCATGTAGCGCTGCGCCAGTCTCCGCACGGCCGAAGGCAGGAACATCTTAAGACACTTCAGGGTTGCGGCGTTTGGATGCAAGTAGAATGGCGAGAAGTGCACGGAGAAGTTTGACGGATCAAACGGGCTGTCGTCATGGTGCATAGAGCAATTGAGACCTCAGGACGGAACATCGTGTGCCATCGGGGCAGCTGCAGCTTTCGCTGCTGCCTCGTATGTGCGAAAGGCACGTGTCGCGAATGTGGGCCGCGACTTGGAGCTGCAATTCATGTGCCCATCAGGAATTGTTGAGCTGCGTACAGTAGTGTTGCTCGCAATTATTGCGCAGAAGTTTTTGCAGCCCCTACACTAGCCCTTATCGTCGCCCTTTTTCTAGTCTTCTAGTATTGTTTTCCTAGGCAAGATATGGCAGACCCCTTAAAGGGGACCCTCCTGCTTCTGGCTCTCTTAAAAGGGATCCCCCATATCCCCAAGGGTTCCCCTTAAACCCTAAACCCTACCTCCGAGGTTGGCAGCAGATGCCTCAGCACCAGGCGGCCAAGGAGAGCGAGAAGAAGTCGAGTCTCGGCTTGCAGTCGCGTCGAGTGCAAGTTCTCCTTGAAGAAGTGTCTTGATTTGTAAGTATTTGCAATTCATTTTCCGGTAGTTTTTAATGGAATAACAGTTTATTAGTTTATTGCTACTATTATTCGTATTATTCAACATTATTGTTGTTATTATTGTTGGCGGTGTGCAGGCCTTGGTTTGGTCTCCTGCATGTGAACACAAGCCAAGAGATACTATAATGATGCACCGATGTTCTGTTCCGGCGTACAGCTGCATATTTTCATACTTCAGTCTGCTGTAGACTGGATGTCCATCAAACGTGGCTAAGAAGCCTGCGCTATGGAGATTGCTGCATGTTACGAGGAAAAGGCGTCACTGCGAGGTTTTCCAAGTTGAGTTCCAGACAGAATCCATTTCTCTTTCCTCATAATGACTGAATCCCCAAAGCTAAATCATGCCAGCCATAACCCTGCATTAAAGACAGAAAATCACAAACCCTTAAGCGAAAGTGCGTCCGATTTGCAGACAAGGCCACTTGCAATGCGGTGCAAGTCCTTGAAGCAGGGTAGAAGCAGACCTTATGTCATAGTTCTCGCATGACTACAGTATTTCGTGCCGTGCTTGTTGTCAAACAGCAAACTCCGAACATGCTCACATTTTTGTCCGGAGCGCAAACCCCACACTGGCCCTACACCCGAACAGAGATGATTACTTGGAACCCCTAAGCTTTACTCGGAGATGATGATATGACAGATGCTAGATGCTGAGAGGTAACTTCGATCTCTGACCCCGCTGCTGCTTCCACTGCTACTATCTCTAAGACGGTGAGTGCCGATGCTACTGCGCTACAGTTCTTGCTATTGATACCCCGGACTTTTCCTACGCTGGTCTCCTATGCTGGTTTTCAACTCCTCATGCTGCAACTGTCGACCAGCACAACGACCCTTTCGAATGTACTTCGAAGTATTTCGAGGTTGTTTTGCAGTGTCCACCGCCCCTAACTTCCGGGCAAAGCCTGCAGTATAGAGAAAAAGGAGGCTTAGTAGCAGTCGTGCCAGTTGCAGCGGCCTCATTGCCCGAGTCCCCTGAAGTCTCTGACAGACCTGCCTCTTCGGCCAGCGATCCCAAATATGCTGCCTTCCTGAAGGCCAGGACAATCACATTCAGTTCGGAGTTCGGGAGCCGTCATGGCTTCACACACACACACATTCTCTCGCTCGTCGCTCTCTCGGCCCTCTGTCTTCCTTCGCCACTGTGCGTGTCTATGTGCGTTGTTCTTTGGTGTTTGTGAACACGTGAGTGGGCGTGTAACACCACTCTTCGTGTGATTGCCTGAGTGGCTGTTTAGCACGATTGTGCGAGCGCTTGCAGGGCTTCGCCAAGAAGTATGGAGAAGGCGCCATCATTGGCCTCGGCCTTGGTCACGAAGCTGCTGAACTGTCTCAGTGTGGACTACTTGAACTCTGGAAAGAGACTTTGCATCGTTCTGAGCACCACCCACAAGCTACCACGAGCAAGACTCCTAAATCCTGCATGGGGAAGCTTAGCCCTGCGGAATCCGAGACATGAACAAGATGACGGCGGACGTGCCAACCTTCTCCACAGGCCGAATGCAGCTGCTCCCCAGTCGCTGAAACTATCTCGGACTACCGCAGTCATCCTGTGAAGCGCGCACAATGCTTTCATCGCACGCATGCATTCAGCCTTTCACGCGAATAACTGTGGCCATTGACATCATGTTGTGCGGCAGCCGATGACCATTGATCGACCGACACTTTACGTTCACTCAGCTGTGGGCCCGAACTCTGCAAAGCAGACGTGCCAAGCAGCGCGGTTCAGCCTGAAGGTGCCCTTACGCTGGACATGAAGCTGGGTGGCGGCATACCTTACGGTCGGATGCTGGGATCCAAATTACTGATGAAGGGCTGTTGCGATGCCCTCGGTCTCTGCATCTGGGATCACTAGTCCATTGTATATGGTCGTGCAATGCCTCTTGCATTCTTTGCAGTGCCAAGGAGCCTCAAGCGTGTAACAAACTTCGATGCTGCTCTCAAGGATTGTTGAGGTCTTCGGCCCGGAGCAAAGCGGCAAGACAACCCTTGCACTGTCTTGTGCGCACCAGGTGGGACTGAATCTGTTGGCGTGTTCTGCAGGATTGTCTCTGAAGTACAGTGGAGTGAAATGCTGGCAATAGAGAGGCGATTTCTGAAGCAAGTCTATGGAAAGCTAGAGAGCCTGCTTTGTTCGACAGTATGTTGATGGTGTTATCATAGTTGCTGCTTTGCCTGCAACAATGTCTGCACACAGGGTGTCTTGATAAGCGACATCGTAGAGGTGCAGAAGCACGGCAACCGCAAGCGCGTGGTTTTCATGGATGCTGAGCAGGCCTCTTCAGATGCCACCGGTGGTTCAATTTCGGATCTTCAGGTAGATGTGCTCGGCCAGCGGGGAGTCGGCAGGTCCAGGTCGTGGTGTGGGCGGGTGTGTGGGGTGTGCGGGGTGTGTGGGGTGTGTGTGGTTGTGTGGGGAGTGTGGGTGTGTGGGTGTGTGGGGTTGTGGGGTTGTGGGGGTGTGGGGTTGTGGGGGTGTGGGGGTGTGGGGGTTGTGGGTGTTTTGTGGGTGTGAGTGTGGGTCTGGGTGTGGGTCTGGGTGCGGGTGTTTGGGCGGGTGTGGTCGGGTGTGGCCGGGTGTGCAGGGTGTTTGGGGTGTGTGGGGTGTGTGGGGTGACATCCAGGGTCAGAATGTTGGCAGTCCAAGGCCAAAGCTTTCAGGGATGCAGGGTCACTGGAACTCCTCGTGATAACGCTCCGTTCATGACCCGGAGCATCGTGATCGGGATTTGGACGCTGCTGATACAGTGGCTTCTTGGCATTGTTGTTCTGCTGACATGTTGGTGAACATGGACAGACCCACACTGGTCTCACGCTCTCACACAGCATCAAAGCTTGTTGCAGTGGGAATCGTGTTGATTTGCAATGGCTTCCAGGACTCAAGCAGGGTCTGCGAAAACATGCATGAATCGTTTGCCTACGCCAAAACCCATTTCAGGGCATCCAGACCTACAGGACTCCTGAAGAGATCGCAGGATTCTCTATCAAGACAAACCATATAAACTACAGTGCGGACTCCTTTGAAATCGCGCTGGAGGCCAAGGCCTTCCGAGACCGCAATGGCCTGTTGTAGACAGTCAGCTCCGAGGATGGAGAATCGCCCGTAGGTGTTCCCAGTAGCCAAGGGTGTAGATCCCTACATGAGCACAGGAAAATCTCAAATTACACAACATAGAATCAGCTTGCACATACAGGCGCAAGAAGACTCAAGCCCCATACTTGCTGACAGGCGCTGGACACGCACTATGCACAGGCAATTGGCATCGACATGTCTCAGGAGCTATCCTGAGGTTTCAATCTTCACGGGACTTGTACGGCAAACTGCAGCAGCATGGCCAGGGTTCGGTTTCGGGTTGTGCGCAACTCGGCTCTACTGAGGAGAGGGGGTCGTTGCTTCCTGCAGCACACATTTAAACAGTGTGGATTGGAGGCGGGTCGCAGGTGCGCCGCCACTGAAGCATGGTAAGGAAGCTGAAACGCAGGAGCACTTCAGATTGGTCACCGCGGGTTTCGCTGAGGAGGCGAGTTCTGATGACCCGACACTTGATGACTTCATGTCCTTCCTACTAGTACTTCTTCCTACTAGTACTTTCGTGTTTAGAGGGATGGTTGTCAACCGAAGATTTTTGGTGAGTGGTCGACGCAAGCGAAGACTTAATGCTGGGGTCTGCCTGGCTTTCTGGGGCAGAATTTCCGCTGGGCCCCTATCGGACTTTGAATAGTTGCACTCTGATCCAGTGACCAGCATGCTGTGCAGCCAGGATGTGCGAACTTTATCGGGGCCAAGGCGAATGAAAGTAAACACACGGAACACTGCCGTGCCTAGTTCCGTATCGACTTTAGGCAAATACACCACAAGGATCTCCATGGAGAATCTCGGCGATAGTGAGCAGAAAGACGATGATATCTTAGCCAGAAGCCAGACCAAGAGTGGGTCACGTAGCCTTCCTTCCCTTTCCAGCAAGATTAGAGGCATGCGACCAGATGCTTGATGCCCTGGAATCCGAGCCTGGCAGCAGCAGCAAGGAGCATGGAGGTAAATCAAAGACCCGCGTAACTTGTACTTCCCGGAGAAGTACGGTAGTGTATCCCAACACACGATTTTTTGGGTACATCTCGAATGCACTCACGGGGTCAACGTCTTCGCAACTGTTGATGTACTCTGACTGTCGTGCCTAGCATGATGCTTGGACTGGCTGTGCGGGTAAGACATTTAGATTTAGATAGTCATGTTCAAGAAGGTGTAAGCACCTGGGCTTCGTTTCTGCAAAGGTGCTTCGATCTTGTCGTGCTGGACAGCGTGGCTGCCCTTACTCCAAAGGAAGAGTTGGACAAGGACATGACGCAGGCTGGGTGCTCATGCTGTTCGAAGACTTCATGTATAGGGTGTGGGCTCAACCGACACTGCGACTCAATCTGACAGAGCACCATCGGGCTGAAAGCCCGGCTCATGAGCAAGTTCCTACCGAAGGCTGCGCATCTTGGCCGCAGCAGAACCCAACATCCCTACAGCCCGACTGTCGAACTTAGCAGGCAGATTCACATGCAGATTGTCTGCTGCTCTGGAGCCGTGGATGTCTCCAAGGAAGTATGCCGCGGAATCGAACACTTGCCTGCTGATGATCAACCAGACCAGAGCCAACATTGGAGGCACGACTTCTTAGAGAAAGCAGCTTTGTCAAGGCGGACGTAACTCGAAGGTGGCACCTGCATGAGTGGCAAACCGTTCTTCATTGGCATGCGAAAACACATTCCATGTACTATTATGTACTATATACTATAATGTGCTTTCATGTACCAGAATTTACTTGATGTATTAAATTCCAGATGAGCGTCTCTCGCCAGGCTATGGAAGTCCTGAGACGACTTGTGGTGGTAAAGCGCTGCCGTATTACGCAAGCATGCGCTTGGAGGCCAGAGCCCATGGCCATAGTCCAACAACAATACGAGTGTAGTACAGTACGAGTGTAGTAGTAGTAGTAGTAGTAGTAGTAGTAGTAGTAGTAGTAGTAGTAGTAGTACTACTACTACTACTACTACTACTACTACTACTCCTACTCCTACTCCTACAACTCCTACGACTAGTAGTAGTAGTAGTAGTACTACTACTACTACTACTACGACGACTACTACTACCAATACTACTACTACAACAACAACAACAACTACTACTACTACTACCACTACTACTACTACTACTACTACTACTACTACTACTACTACTACTACTACTACTACTACTACTACCAATACTACTACTAGTACTACGACGACTGCTACTACTACTGCTACAACTGCTACTACTACTACTACTACTACTACTCGTACTGGTACTAGTACCAGTACTAGTACCTGTACCAGTACTAGTAGTAGTACCAGTACTAGTACCAGTACTAGTACTAGTACTGGTATTACTAGTAGTAGTAGTAGTAGTAGTAGTAGTAGTAGTAGTAGTAGCAGTAGTAGTAGTAGTAGTAGTAGTAGTAGTAGTAGTAGTAGTAGTAGTACTAGTAGGTCAACCGGAGGATGACGGGGCCTGTTTAAGATATGTGATGATACATGGTGAACTGTTATCGCCACACGAACCTTTATCGCCACATGTGGGGGCGTGTTTAAGATATGTGATGAACCGTTATTGCCAAACGCGCGGCCATGTTCGAGATATATGATGAAGCGGAATCACCAAATAAGGGGGAGCGGCGTGTTTCAGATATATATAGATATATGATGTACCATTGTCGCCACATGTCGCATGTTTACGATATACGGTGAACCGGAATCACCACATGAGGGGGCGTATTTAAAATCTATGGTTACGATGTATGATGAACCAAGTCGTCAAACGAGGGGGCATGTTTGAGATATATGATAAAAAGGAAGCGCCAAATGAGGTGGCGTGTGGAATATGTATGAGGAACCGGAATTGCCAAATTAGCGGGCACGGTTGTCGTCTCCTGCGGGGGCATATTTCAGATGCATGGTGAACCGTTACCGCCAATTGAGGGGGCGTGTTTAAGATATGTGATGAACCGTTAATTATCGCCAAATGAGGGGTGTGTTCAGGATGTATGGTGAACCGGAATCGCCAAATGATGGGTGTGTTTAACATGTATGGTGAACTGGAGTCGCCAAAGGAGGGGGCAATGTTACTGTTTATGATGAACCGTTGTCGCCAAATGTGGCGGCATGGTTGAGATATGTGATAAACCGTTCTCGCCAAATGAGAGGGCGTGTTCACGATATATGATGAAGCGGATTCGCCAAATGAAGGGGCGAGTTTTTGATATATCATGCAACGGAATCGCCACGCGAGGGAGCATGCGTAAGATAAAATCTGATGTTCCGGAATCGCGAAATGAGAGGCGTGTTCAATTTAACAGGTATGATGGGCCGATATCGCCACATGAGGGGGGGCGTGCTTAAGGTATGTGATGAACCGTTATCGCCAAATGAGGGGCGTGTTTAAGATATATGATGAACCCTTATTGCCGAATGAGGCGGCGTGTTTAACATGTAATGTATGATGAGCCGATATCGCTACATGAGTGCGTGTTTAAGATACGTGATGAACCTGAGTCGCCAAATGAGGGGGCGTGTTTAAGAGGAGCGTATTTAAGATATATGATATATGATCAACCGTTATCGAGGAATGAGGGGCGTGTTCAAGATATATTAGATGAACTGTCGTCGCCAAGTGTGGAATGTTTCAGATATATGCTGAACCGGCATCGCCACATGAGGGAGATATATGGTGAACCGCAGTCCCCACATGAAGGGGCGTGTTGAAGATATATATATATATATATGGCGAAACAGATCGTCACACGAGGGCGCATGTTTAAGATGTGATGAACCGCTGGTCCCCATGTCATTGCGTTTACAATGAGGGGGGCTGCGCTTCCCCCCCCCCCCCCCCCCCCCCCCCCCCCCAACCCCCCCGCTTTCTTAGCCCTATAAGCCCTGTGAATGTGCTTTAGCGAACGTCGTAAAGTCAAGAATGCTATTTGGCCATTTGCGACTGATTCGTATCAAGCAAAGCACATAGATGACATAGCTCGTATGAGACCTTTCAAGTCCCGTGCTATGGACCCAAACCACCACTTAATTTTTTACCGCACGAGCTTGCTTAGAGAACATCGTGCCATCGAGACTAAAGCCGACACGCCCAGATCCTGAACTGGCACGGAAGCCAAGCAGGTAGACCCGCAGGGCCGGACCGACGGATTTACAGACTGAGTGACCGACCGAGGGCCCAAGACCATATGACGAAAACAATAATAATTAAAGATGCGCGAAACAGACGTCGCACACAGCCTCAGTTCTCGCCATCCCTGCGACTCTTGCTAGTTTTGCATATGGGTCGAACTGAAAACCAAAAAAGGACCCAGATACAACCAACAAAATACAACAAAAAACCTGTACCCCAAGCATCGGCCTTCGTTTGCCGGCTCTCCGCACTACTACTTCTATTACTACTTCTACTACTACTTCTACTACTACTACTACTACTACTACTACTACTACTACTACGACTGTCGGTATCAAGTATCGAAGGCATGGCTCGTTTTTTTTGGTATGGGCGGTATTGAATGGGCAGATCTCCCAAAACCCTATGTGCGTGCCAGCAGACTTGGCCTGCCAGGTCAGATCCCCGAAGTCTGGGATTATCGGGCCAGCAGAGCCGCTTGACATACGTGAGAGAACAGAGGCGGATGCTTTCTTCAGAAATCGGGGAAGGAGAAGAATGTTGCAACAGTGAGTACTCCGAGTGTCTACATCAGGTGGACGAAGGTTTCGTACCACTAGTACATTCGCAAGGTACCTCTTGTCAGCAGTGGCATGGCCTGGCCAGCGGAGAAATTACAATTTAGATCCCAATAGACGCCGTTTTGCAAACGTGCGATTTGTCTGTTCCGACTGAGTCTCAAGCTTCTGCTTTTCCTTGGGTTCTAATGGGAAATCTGGGGTCATCCACTTGAAGGAAGCCTGCTTTTGCACCTGCAGCGTTGCTCACTTTGTAAGTCTTGGTGCTTGGAAAGGACTTCGACCCGGAGAACTGAACTCAACTGCTTGCAAAGCGAATCCCAGCAGCCCAGGACTGAACAGTTTATACCATCCATGTTGTCTGAGTGCGGACCTAGGGAGCCAACCGGCATCCGCTCAGCCGTTCGCATCAAGAAGAACAAGCTTGCCGCCCCGCACAGGAAGCAGAGCAGCATTAAACAGGCTGCAACAAGCTTCAGGCGCCATACTGTAGAGGGCTGGGGCTGTGTGTTCCGTCGTTGTCGTGTTCGGGCATCAGCACCCGCACTGCTCTGCTGCCTGGTCGACACCAAGGAAGGCTGAGTTCGATATCATCTTCGGCGAAGGCATCTCTTGGGAGACTGTGCTGCGCAGATGGCATGTTTTTTTTTGCAGTTCTGAGGTCGAGTCTAATGTAAGATCTGGCGCATGCAGAGTTCGGTAGTTGGCGCTTCGATGCCGACCCCATTGTGCAACAGTTACCAGAATCCTACTTCCCAAACTCAAAGCAAACACTTGGAAGATCAGTCCGAAACCATCGCATGACGGCTAGGCAAGATGATGGAAGATGAAGGTGCATGGTTTTCGAGGGCCATATCTTCTGCATCAGCTTCTCTCGTTTATTGGCATGTTTCTTGAAAGTAGTCAGACTTAAGCGCGACTACTGACTACTGATGGAAATGGCTTTCAGATTACAAACTATGATGTTCATCAAGATGCCGACGATGACGATGAGTGGCGATGATGATTGGCATCTTCCCGTCGTGAGGAAAGCAGCGTCCTGGAAGCTGCCCTCGACCTCAAGCTGGTCGAGAAAGGCGGCTACTCGGCAGAACTCCGCTGAAGTAGTGAGGCTGCACTCTTCAGCTGCAAGGCTGGATCATTGACCAGAGAAACTGTACTGCCGAAGATGCGTGTGGCATCAGGTGATAGCAGCTATCACAGCATCACAGTTTCTCGGACGATCTGACATACGTAAAGCTTCGAACGTCGAAAGTTGTTGTCTGGCACCGATCAGCAAGCTGCAGCGATTTTCTCGGGGCCTGTGCAACAAGTACAAAGCTCCGACAGCTGCATGCAATGAGCCGTGCATGCAAGCAGCAAGTCCTGACATTGACAAGAATCAAAGCCAGTGAGAGCCGATGGAGCCGTCATGACAAGGGGCCCTCCTTCGTACCCCTCATGTGACCGGCGCACTGCAACCCGATGCGTGATGCCGGCTGCTTTGTGGACCAGACACTCAAAGCATGTCGATCCTGCACGCTGCTGCCGAAATCTTTTCGATTGGCCGGGGCTTTAAACGCTGCACGACTGCTGCATGGGACGCCTCAGCATCAGGATAACTTGCGCATGTTGCGGCTGCAGGGTTCATCCTCCATAGCAACCACACGGAGGCAACCAGAAAACAGTGCTGTACTTGGTCCTGAGATATCCGCGCAAAACCCAGAACACCCCAGGCATTCGGATCATTGCAGCCTCAAGCCTGTTTCCGTGAGCCCTTGAGGTGCTTGGCTGACCTATGGCGAGCATAAGAAGCAGGGCAAGGCACCGTTTGAGTAAGCTGAAGACTTTGGGCTCTCCACGTATGTAGTTGCTAGGCTTCACCGGGCGGAATGCAGTCAAACTGTGAGCTAAGCCCATTTCGATCCCTTAAGATCCGCAGCCGGAGGAGACTTTCAGGGACTTCTTGGCTGAGCACCCGGATGTGTGCCAGCCGCTTGCCTTGTGCAGCTGACGGGACTAATCATGTTGGATGCGGCGGTTCGGTTTGTGGGAAGGCATCTGTGCAGTTGTGCATTCCGGCGAGCGGGTGCTCAGGAAATTGGAAGCTGAGATCCGAGCTTCAATGCGGCTCATGCAGCAATTACGAATTATGCCTACGGGTTGTACCGATGGGAACTTCCGCCTCCTCAGGGGCCTGAATGTCATCCCTGAGTTGCACATAGAGATGCATCAAGCCTCCTCACCAGGCAGAACACAGAGCCGGAAGAGGTCAGCAAGCCGAAGGCCGTGAAGCAAGCGGATGAGAATGCTGATTGCAAGGAGGAGAAGGATGAGAAGGCACCGCCGCGAGTTGCCAATTACCCATTCGGTGCCGCCACCAGGATGTAGATCAAAAATCCTGCTTCACAAGAGCTGCCTGTCCCTTCAGCGAAGCTAACCCAACAAGGCCACTTTGCAAAGCGTCAACTGGTAGCTTGCTTCGGTTCCTGATGCACAGGAGTTGCCTGTCGCTGAAGCGACCCCGGCCAAAAAGGCCACTTTGCAAGGAGTTCCGCTTACTGTTCAACTGGAAGCTTGCTTCTGTTTCTGATTCTGCTTGGGCGCTCGGATATCCCTGAATGGCTGGAGTCGTGTGGATTCGTGGAATTAGGTGGTGTTGCTTTCATGGAGTGTTATATATGTGAACGTAGGATATAAATTAAGGAATATGCCTTCGTTTTTGTTGATAAGTACCCTACTCAGGACTGCGCTTGCTTTCGTCAAACAAGTTTCGCAGTGTCGGACACAGTACAACTGATGACTAGCTTGTTTGCTGCGAGTCCCAGACGAGGGGACTGGATAGTATTGCAAGAACACTTCTGTGCATTTGTCCGTGTCTGCCTCGTGTGCCGGCGGCTGTTTTTGGTTAAAGTGCTGTTTTTTTCGCCGTACAAACAGTTGATGCACAGCATGAAATGTGTGCAGTCGATCGCACACGCCAGAAGGTCGCATGTTCACCTGTTTCTATCTACCGATCCAGCGAGCAGAGCTTTTTCACCTAAATATTTTCTTTCTATCTGTCTGTGTGGTCTTGTATGTATTTACCTGTCTACCTGTCTATCCAAGACTTTGTCAACACGTCTAACAAGCTAGCTATCTTTTTATGTATCTATCTATCTATCTTTTGATGTATCTATATGGCTGCCAATCTATGTATCTATCTTTCTTTCTATCTGTCTAGCGTTTTGTGTATCTACCTGTCCGTCTATATCTATCTATTGTCCCATTTGTCTATTCACCTGTCTATCTTCTTATCTATTTGTTTATCTACCTAGCCGGCTGTCGTGCTAGTACACTGCACGGTACTTACTATGCTGCACTACACTGCACCATGCTATGCTATGCTATACACTATCTCATATATCCGTCCATCTAGCATCACATGTTCGAACTTCTTTGTCGTTCGATCGACCCTTGTGTGCCTCTCTCTGGCTCTCCTTTCCCTCTGCATTTTTAAAGCGTATCCGACTACCTATCTTTTCATGTACTGGTTGTCCGTCTATCCACATTCGGGGCTCTCATAATGGCTTTGCACGAGATGCTTGTAGTTGGCGTCGGGCTTTTTCTCTGAGCCGCAGCAGCCAATCAGGCAAAAGCACCATCAGCGAAAGAACTCCAAGCGAAGCTGAAAGAGCTTGGGCTACCGGCGACCGGGAAGAAGGTTCCTTGCGCCAACTTGTCGACAGTGTACCCTTTTCTCGGATTGGACCGTGACGGATTAGCAACCACAAGGCCCTGAACAGTTCAAGGGTTCTGGGCGGTCCTGAAGAGTGGGTGAAAGATTTCGAGTGTGGAGAGCTCCGATCAGGCTGAATTGCAAGCTCGACTAGAGGAGCACCAGAAGGCCTCTTGGTGAGCATTTGAGGTTTGTATGTTCCCATCTCCATGTTGTAGCCTGTGCAAGATCCTGCAAGGTCTCTGGAAACGTTTGCTCTACTGCTTTGCCTTTTGTTCCTGTTCTTCCCGAGTTGCATGCCACCTCGTCAGGACCTTGTGGTCCTCTGCCATCCCGGTCAGTTTAGATGGAAAGGCTTGGCGCTGGATATCTTTGGTCCTCGGCTCTTCTGGTCTCGATTCCATCTTCGCCTGCATTCTCGTCGCCCTCCTCTTTATAATGGATCATGAGCAGGATTGTCATCATCATCGCTACCTGCGGCATCCTCATGATCAGCATCACTTCGGGAGTGCAACTGTGCGGCCCTCCCGTTGAATTTCGTTGGCTAGCGCCCAGTATATGCCGAATATCACAAATCTGGCGATCATGCTCGACCAGCACTCTAGCAGTGGCTGCTGCTATCAGCTTTTCATCATCCTTAGCACTATTTGGCACTATCATTTTGAAGTGTTCTTGCAGTCGAAACTGCTGCGGTGATTCATTACTCCAAACCGGTGCCAGCAACTGCAATTGACTGCATTACCTTGTCCTTGCGGAAGCCTTGCATCCGCGCAACCCGTGCAAAGCAAAAATCTGCAAGCCAAATCCTATGATCGTCCTCGAGGAGCCTGATAGCTTTTCCCTAGCCCTACTCTACTCTGATTACTCACTCCTAATACTCCTGGTGCTAGAGGACCACATACAATTTCAGTTTAAGTGTTTTGCAGTTCAATTATTGCATTTTGCGATCGAGCGGTCGTGTTCTATTCCGAAACTATAGGTGGCATACTTCACATCCGTCAGCTCTTTCTCTGATGTGTTTTGTACTATACACCAGCACACCTCAGTCCTGACAAGCATGTTTCTGTTTGGATCGTGAATGTTCAGCGCACTCACCTACCGGAATGTAGAGGAAACTTCACCGGAGCCTAGCCATGTTTGTACAATTTCTTTCGGCTTCCGTAGGTCGATAACCTGAGCCTTATACTCGGGGGCGCCTGGGGCCCGGGCTTGCTTGCTGCATACACCTCCAAGTCGGCAGCGACAGAGTCCCAATCCTTGCCGTCCAATCTATCATCAACCCACTGCGCCGCTTCACCACGGAGCGCGTGAGGCAGAGAACTCACAGGGAGGCTCTTGGGGACGCAGTCGTGCGCAAAATTTCCCACTGTGGTGCGGGCTGTGCCTTCGACCCAGAAGGCCGCCACCTTGTGGCCGACCATTTTGTCGTTTATTCGCAAGCCATGTCACCCCGACCGAGAGAGTACACAGGCAGGACTGTGCAGCATGTTGTGAATCTCAAAGCCTGTGCTAGGAATTGAACAGCGGTTTGGCAACCTCAGATTGTGAGTTCCACTCGAGAATGTTGAGCTCACGCGCAAGTGACGACACTCGCAACCGGCAGTGCAATGTACTGGGTTTCGGAGTGAACGTGTCGAGAAGGCCTTGTGAAGCTGCCGATCACGCGCAAACCGAAACTTGATCCGGCAAATTTCGGCATTGTCACTCGGGAATGCAGCAAGTCGTGGTGTCTCCGGGAGGCCGGGAACTGCTGCAACTTGCAGCGATTGCAGTTCGCAAACAGCGACGAGAGTGTAGCAGCTAAACTACATTGCTAAAGATAGGTTAAGAAGATATCATTTTCCAGTCTTCTTCCGAGGGCTGAGGATATGAGTGAGAGAGCGTTCTTCCAGCATCGCAGGAGGACTCACAATTGCCAGCAAACAGCTGCCAGCACAGATGTAATATTAATATTAATATATATATATAATTGTTATATGGTACTATTACTATTTTTTGCCAGTATTACTGCTCTGCTTATTGCTCCTGCTACTGTGCTGCTACTACTACTACTACTACGACTACTACTGCTGCTGCTGCTGCTACTACTACTACTACTATTAATTCTATTACTACTACTACTACTACTACTACTACTACTACTACTACTACTACTACTACTACTACTACTACTACTACTACTACTACTACTACTACTACTACTACTACTACTAACTACTACTACTACTACTACTACTACTACTACTACTACTACTACTACTACTACTACTACTACTACTACACTACTACTACTACTACTACTACTACTACTACTACTACTACTACTACTACTACTACTACTACTACTACTACTACTACTACTACTACTACTACTACTACTACTACTACTACTACTACTACTACTACTACTACTACTACTACTACTACTACTACTACTACTACTACTACTACTACTACTACTACTACTACTACTACTACTACTACTACTACGACTACTACTACTACTACTACTACTACTGACTACTACTACTACTACTACTACTACTACTACTACTACCACTACCACTGCCACTACCACTACCACTACCACTACCACTACCACTACTACTACTACTACTACTACTACTACTACTACTACTACTACCACTACCGTTATCTTTCAGTTCGGATCCCAGGCAGCAAAGGTGCAGCCAGTTGCTGCAGCCTAGTACAGCTCCCTCCTTCGCCAGGCGACCGGGCTGCAGTATTCATAATATCCAAGAACAGCAATAAAAGCAAGAGTAATACTAATGATATTAATAATAGTATTGTTCACTCAATGGTAATAGTAACAGTCATAGTCATACTAATACTAGTGCTGGTGCTGATACTAATCACAGTACGAATAGCAATACGAGTAGTACTAGAATAATAGTAGTAGCAATAATAATAATAGTAGTATCACGGGACTTGATGAACAGGTTCATGCTTAACGGCTTTCCGGATTGACGGAATTGGTGTAGATGCGTTCGTACGCTTCTCTGAGACCATTCCGTTACTCAGCTAATCATCGACTGGAAGCTATCGATCTAAGCGTTGAGCTGTGATGTTCATGACGGAGGAATTTCATCAGGCGCAGTGGACTCCTGTGCAGGGCTAGTTCGAACTGGAGTCAGAGACAATCAGAGTTTTCGTAGCAAGAACACGAAAGGAAGCGCTGTGGAACGCGTAGACCTCCGGGCTTTGAAGCAAAGTAACCTTCGAGGGTTGAGCGACGACATGCGCTGCAAATTCTGTCGCAAGGCAGCACGCATCTGCATTGCAAGGCTCGCCCATGCTTCGCACTTCGCAGCGCCCGGATTTAGCATTGGTTTCGTTGCTGACCATATGACCTGTGTTGAGAGCAGCGGAGAGAGGTCGAAGTAGATGCAGACATTTCTTTGCAGAAGCAGGTCGAACAGCTCCTGGAGCGACCTGTGATGGAGGCTCTCGACTGTGAGCGTTTCGCATCCCCTCCGCATGGCACCAGAGATTGATTCGATAGAAGTCCTTGAACCAGCCTTTTGCAGATGGGAGCATGAATGTTGCCAATGTCAGTGTGCGCTTGCATGCATTGCATGCGCAGTCCCTAATTAATCGCGTTTGCGACCTTCCACTACGCTGAAGGATCGTATGCATATGCTTATGACAACCGACGAAACGGGCTGTACCAGCCGAACATGGCAGTGCCGGATCAAGTCTGACGTAGAGTTGTGCAGCAGTGCCTTGCCTGCTTTGAACCTCGGAGAAATGACAATGGACGATAGCAGCCGCCGACCAAACATGCACCGACTGTCCTTCATTTGTGAGATGTGCGACGAGAGATCATGCTTTCAGGAAGATTGCAGAACAAGTTG